AGAGTACAGAGCCCCAAACCAGCAAAAAGCAAGGTAACCACAGAGATGGTAAGCAACACCCAAGCCCAAATCTTTCTCTGACCACCAATTTTGCAGGCAAAGGGAACACCTCTACAGGGCCAGGCTACAGAAGCAGCCATGGCAAGTCATACAAACAGATGTCAGCAGCTGCATATCACAAAGGAAACAAAGTCTGAGATTTGAATCCAGGCAACTTGAATGCCTACTAGATCAAAAATCCTCAGGAAAAAAAACATACATAGGGGTCGGCCCGGTGGCGCAAGCGGTTGGGTGCGCGCGCTCCGCTGCGGCGGCCCGGGGTTCGCTGGTTCGGATCCCGGGCGCGCACCGACGCACTGCTTTGGCGAGCCACGCTGTGGCGGCGACCCATATAAAAGTGGAGGAGGATGGGCACGGATGTTAGCCCAGGGCCGTCTTCCTCGGCAAAAAAAAAAAAAGGAGGATTGGGGGATGTTAGCACAGGGCTGATCTCCAAAAAAAAAAAAAAAAAAAAATACATAAAAAAATCAGAGTTGCTACTATATACATGCAATGTCTAGTTTTCAACCAAAAATTACTAAACACGCAAAGAAAAAGGAAAGTGTGATCCATACTCAGGAAAAGAAGGCAGCCAATATAACTGAATTTAAATAGGCCCAGTTGTTGGGTTTGGCAGACAAAGACATCCAAACAGCTTTATAAATATGTTCAAAGGATTAAAACAAAATCATTCAAAAAATGAAAGGGAAATATGTGTTCAATCAGTAAACAGAAAATCTCAACCAAGAAATGGAAACTATACATGATAGAAATCCTAGAGCTGAAAAATACAATAAATGAAATCTTTAAATGGGCTCAACAGCAGACTGGAGATGGCAGATAAACTTGAATATAGATCAATAAAAATTACCCAAAGAAAAGAGAAAAATGTTTGAAGAACAAGGAAAAAAACTTCAGAGAATTGTAAGACAATATGAAGCACTCCAACATACATATAACTAGAACCCCAGAAAAATAAAAGAGCAAGTAGCATGAAAAATTTGAAGAAATAATAACCAAAAACTTCCCAAATTTGGTAGAAACATTAATTTAAAGATTCAAAAAGCAGAACAAACCCCAAGAAAAATAAATAAAAATAAAATCACTCCTAGATACATCACAGTCAAACTGCAAAAAAGCTAAAGTCTTGAAAGCATTCAGAGAAAAATGACATGTTACATATGAAGGAACAACAATAAATATTTGCTCACTTCTCATCAGAAACTATGAAAGCCAGAAGATACTGGAACAACATATTCAAAGCATCGAAGGAAAAAAAACTATTACTAATAATTGTATATCCAGCTAAACTATCCTTCAAATGTGAACACAAAATAAAATAAAGGCATTTTCAGTAAACAAAAACAGGGAATTTCTTGCCAGTAGAACTCCACTACAAGAAATTCTAAAGGAAGTACTTTAGCCTGAAGGGAAATGACACTGAATGGCGACTGGGACCAATACAAAAAAATTCCTCATGGCAAGTTATGTGAGTAAATATTTTAAAACTATGTATTTTTTTATTTTCTTTTTTAAATATCTTTAAAAGCTATGACTACTTAAATTAAAAATTATAACTCAGTACTGATAAGTTTATAACATAAACAGATCTAATATATAACAATACCACTACGTAAATAAAAATACACTGTTGCAAGATTTCTATATTTTACCTAAAGTAATTCAATATTAACTAAGTAAATTGGGATAAGTTTAAGATGCATTTGATCCCTAGAGCAACAACTGAAAAAAAAAATGTAAAAATATAGAACTAGAAAGCCAACAGAGAAATTAAAGTGGAATACTAAAAAATATCTAATTAAAACAAAAGAAGACAGGAAAGGAGGAAGAGAGGAACAAAAAAAACAGGAGACAAAACAAATTACAAAAGGGAAGACCTAAGTACAACCATATCAATAATTAAATGTAAATGGACTAACAGTCTAATAAAAAGACACAGGTTTTTAAGACTAGATTTAAAATCCAAGACCCAATTGTACGCTGCTAACAAAATACATGCTTTAAATATAAAGACATAAACAGACTAAAAGTAAAAAGCTACAAAGAATATTTTCCACAAAAACAGTAAGCATAAGAAAGATGAAGTGGCTATATTAATAGTAGACAAAATAGACTTCATAACAAGAAATATTATTGGGGATACTTCATAACGATAAAATGGTCAATACATCAGATAGATATAACAATCATAAATATAGATGTGACTAATAACAAACCTTCAAAACATATAAAGTAAAAACTGACAGAACTAAAAGGAGAAACAGATGAATCCACAATCATAGATAAAGACTTTAACAGACTTCTCTCCGAAATTAATAGAACTCAATAAAAATATCAGCAAGGATGTAGAAAATCTGAATGACACCATTAATCACCTTATCCTAACTGACATGTTCAGAACACTAAACCCCATACCTGCAGAATATACACACTCTTTCAAGTCCATATAGAACATCTACCAAGATAGACCATATACTGGGCCATGAAACAACTCTCAACAGTTTTCAAAATATTAAAATGTAACAGACTATATTCTCTTACTGTAACAGAATTAAATCAGAAATCAACAAAAAATAAAACATCTGGAATAGCCCACAAATATCTGTAAATGTAAAATTCACTTTTAAAGAACCCATAAAAATCACAAAGTAAATAAGAAAATAGTTTGAATGGAATAACAATGAAAACTGGTGAACTGATAAATTATACTTCACCAAAACTTAAAACTTCTGTTCTTTGAAAAACACTATTATACCAAAATTAAAATGTTATCAAAATATAAGTTTAATAAAGAAATGATATTTATAACATATAAAGTACTCTTAAAGCTCGATAACAAGAAAACAAACAACCTAACAAAAAATGGGCAAAAATATTTGAATCAACACTTCACCAAAAAAGATATATGGCTATCAAAAAAGCATACGAAACTATGATCAATATCATTTGTCACTACAAAAATGCAAATTAAAACCAAAATTAGATACCACTTTCCACCCTGGAGAATGGCTAAAATTCAAAAGACTAACAATACCAAGTATTGGCAAAGAAGCAGAGGAACTGGAACTCTCATACATCGCTGGTGGTGACATATATATAATTACTCCATGGAAATACTTTTATTTTGACTCTTTAAAAATAAGATAATCCATAAATAGGCAGTAAAAAAAAATTAAAAGTTGGCAATGTAACCCAGATAATATATTTTCTTTCTTTATTTAATTTTCTACAGGTTTGATACCGAATTCATATAATTCATCAGAAACGAAGAGGAGGCAGAAATTCAAGCACCTGGTCTGATCTGCCTCACCTCAACGTCTGAAGGTCCTCCTTCCACTCCAAGGCTCTGGGTCTGGGGCTGGCCCAGTGGCACAAGCAGTTAAGTGCGCACACTCCGCTTTGGTGGCCCAAGGTTTGCAGATTTGGATCCCGGGCGCGCACCGATGCACCGCTTGTCAAGCCATGCTGTGGTGGCGTCCCATATAAAGTGGAGAAAGATGGGCACAGATGTTAGCTCAGGGCCAATCTTCCTCAGCAAAAAAAAGAGGAGGATTGGCATCGGATGTTACCTCAGAGCTGATCTTTCTCACCAAAAAAAAAAGGCTCTGGGTCTGCCTTGGGAAGGAGGCAGCCACAACCAACCTCTTCTTCACCCCACAGAACAAAGCCCAGGGTATCGCTGTGACCAGGAACAGCAGCAGGACAAGGCAAGACCAAGGTCAAGTTCTTTCTGCCCCACAGCTGTGGTTCTCACACACCAAGTTGGTGTCTGTTAACAGTTTTGTTACTATTAGTAGGACATCTATGCCACAAATGATTTTGTGACAGATTTAAGACCAGCCATTTGGTAGAAAATGACAATGAATGAGTCTCTCAGGAAAGAAGAATCACAAAAGGGATCACTTCCATTTTCATTATTCTCCAGGTACCTTGGTCTATCTCAAATTAATGACTAAAGAACATGGCCACTCAAAAAAGTGAAATGGAACATCAAAACCAAAGGGCGAATGGCTATCATGACCAAAGGAGCTGAAAGACACAGGCACTTAAGCCTCTATGACCAACCGTGACAAATAATTAACCAAAGGAGTTGTTGGCAAGGGAAACTTGTGCTATCACACTGAGGGAAAAAAAAGGAGAAAAGCAGATTTACTCCACCCTGGACAGGCGCAGCATATACATAATGTGACCATAGCTCAAAACCAGAATCAGCCTCTTCATCCTCTGAAAAAAACACAACTCAGAAAGCAGCCCATCCATGGTGGTTTATTGGGAAATTTTATTTTTTGCTAAAATTTAGAACTTTATAAGAACCAAATGACAGAGCTGGGACCATCTGGGTCAGAGATGTTGACAGCCTTTCAAAACTAAAGAAACTTAAAGAAAGCAACTTTAGAGACCAATCCCTTCAGCAAAATGGTACTAGTTCCACACTCACTTCTCGTCACAGCCCCTAAAAATAAGTCCCATTCTTTTAGCCTAACCTTGTTATCATGGCCAACCTTTCTCTCTTCTGAGGTAATGTCTATAAATCTTGGCATCCAGTGTGCTTTTGCACCACATGTCAGCTATTAGCAATGGTATTTTTCCTGACAGCTAATTGGTGACATTAAAGAAAAGAAATGAAAAGCATTGTGCTTGCAAAGTCATTTTACACCATTAACTGCAACAAGTATTTTACAGGGGACATGGCACTGCCTGGGAATCAAAGGGACATGGTTTTCACCCTGTTTGCCAGTAAAACGAGAAATGTGGTGAAAATGAAACCCATACCTTGGGTTTCTTTACATGACAGCTCAATTAGTGATACTTCCTGTGCCAGAAGACTCTCTCCAAGTAACGCTTGCGTTAAGGAAGTGCTCTGAGGCAGGCAGACATCTAAAGAGCCTCCCCTCCAAACCTGAAATGGCGGTGACCCCACACGGCTGTGGGCCCCTCACCTTTCATTTTGGTTGTGTAAAATCCAACAGCTGCTCCATCCCTCCACAGAATTTTAGCTTGCTCCTTCACAGAATGAGGTAAAAAAAACATGTCATCATCATCCAAATTTCTCTCCAATCTTCCAAAAATAACGACGTTTAGAATGAAAAGCACAATCCTTTCTCCAAATGACTGAACCTTTAAGGGAAAAAAAAAAAAAAGACCAACCCAGTGAGACTAGAGAGGAACATCAGACATGATAAATTTTGCAGTTGGAATGGACCCACACGTCAGGGCCAGGTGTGCACTACAACATCACGATGTGTCTCATGCTCAAGAGCCAAAATGTGAATGATATTTTCTCACAGAGGTTTTCACATCCCTGACCTTTCACACCAGTCAGCCTCCAGGAGTGAGGGGCAGTGCCAGAGGAGCCTTCTGGGTCCCCAGGGCCACAGCCGTGGAATGCAAGTTGAACAGAGAACAAGAAATCACATGCCAATGAGACAGGAAGTTACCTCTGCGGGGGGCAAGGCCAGCGTTTCAGATTCGCTGAATGTGTCTAGAAATAAATCCAATTCACCATTTTTAACAACAGCCCCAGAATTCTGGCCCTCAACAGGAGGGTAAAAAATTGGGGAGATCAATTGCTACCCCAAAAGCAACTGATTTTCAATGGCTTGTGACAGATTCTGAGCACACAATAGAGTCCCAATCTGAAAGAATTACTGGGACTTAAGGCCCACCCCATTCTAAGGCTGTAAAATGGAACCATCTCACACCCACAGCAAAGTCATGAAAATGAAGAAACCGTACTGTGGTCAATGTCAGGCCCACTGAGAGCTTTATCCTTAACAAGTCAAAATGACTACACGCCCCTGCCTGTTAAAATTCTCTGCATTTGTATAGCCTATGGATGGCAGATATGGGCATAAATGGAGGCCTCCCACTCCTGTGCCCACAGCAGACATAGCTAATCAATTCATACTCCATGTGGCTGAGCCTGGATACGGTCTCCGAATCCCCCTACATGCAGTCCTCCCAACAGCCCTAAGCAACCGCTAAAATGGGGCACTTGAGATGAAACCAATCTGCTATTGACAAAGTGACAGTCTCATTGTATTGGATTTTACTCTGACAACACTGATATGTGACAGCCTAAGTGTGTGGGTGTCTGTCACCACAAAATCAGCAATCCCATTAACTGGGCTGTGACTTCCACCCACACGCTACCATTTGACTCTCACCACCTGCCGAGGAGGTCCTGCTTTATAGATGAGGAAATTGAAGCTCAAAGAGGGTAAGTGATTATATTTATTGATTTCCCTGCCTCGTTCCAAAGAGGACTTACTACAGCTGGACGAGGGTTCTGTCAGAGGCAGGCAGGCTCAAAACAACAGGCCAGGGCTTCTGAGTCCCAAGCCAGTGCACCTGCTCGAGCCCAGTCAGCTGCATCTTCATCCATTAGAACTGAGACTTTTGGAAAGTGAAGTTTAATATAAGTATTAATGCTTGGTTTTATATTTAATACTTGACCCTTAAATTTTTATCATCATCATCATCATCATCATTTGTGGTTGTGCCTTCTCAGCCTAGATTTGCTGGGAGATCTTCAGCAACTCACAACCTCTTTGAGCCTCAGTTTCCTCCACTGGTCAAGGGAAAAGATCACCTAGCTAGTCTCTCAAACATTCACATGTTTTTCAAATGCTCTGATAATAAAAATAAGGCAGCTTGCAGCATCCTAGCAAATGGTACAAAGTGTTCAGTGCCAATAAACTTATTAATTGGCCCAGAATGTAAAATATTTCACCTTCATCTGGAGCCAAATCTTAGATGAGAAAAATATTTGTGAAAACTACACCAGCTTAACTCTGAGAAGCCACCCCAATTTTGCATCTCAGACACCGGCAGCCAACTCAAGTTCAGACTTTAAGAATAACCAGCTAGTCACAAAACCTGACTGGTGTGATGTGGGAGGTTATAGTTTTCAACTTATAAAACCAAAAAGTTCAGAGGGAAGCCAGAAGAGAAAAGCAGATTGCATCTGGCAGAAGGGAAATATCCAATCAAAAGCTGGCAGGAGAAAAAGGAGAAAAAGAAAATGCACTTAATTTGTCCAATTTCATTGCGGGGGGCGGGGGGGAATGCGTGACATGTGATTCTGACTTAGAAACATTTCCGAAAACACAAAACTAAGATCCAGTTCTAATCCCTCAATTAGGACCACTAACTATGTTAACAGAAAAAAAACATTTAAAACGCTTTCTTTGGTAATTTGTGAAGAAGAGCTGGCTAAGAAACAAAATGTAATTAAAAGAAAAAAGAAGTCAAGACCCAAAGTTCTATAAACGGAAAGGGGAACTACCCCCGTCTACAGCTGGGGCAGGACAGGTCTTGACAACATGCTTCATGAAGTGGAAACAGCATCCAAGTTTCTTTCTGTTTACAACATGGGCCACATTTTCTGAACATGTGGGGGTTTTCCTCATCTAAACTTAGAAGAATTGGCACATGAAGGAAGTGACCGCTCTTGTTCTGAAAAAAATTAAAGAGCAAATCAGACTCTTCCTAGCATTCAGAACACTCAACCACTACATACCACCAGGCCCAAGGCACAGGGACAGCAACCCAAGGCCAGGCAGCCCCATCGGGTACATCACGCTAATCTGCCGAATCTCAAGCCATCGTTAATTTGCTGGAAGAAAACCCTCTTTGAAACAATATCTATCGAGTCAATTAAAACCAGACCTGAGGGCCGGCCCCGTGGCTTAGCGGTTGGGTGCTCGCGCTCCGCTGCTGGCGGCCCAGGTTCGGATCCCGGGTACGCACCAACGCGCCCCCCTCTCTGGCCACGCTGAGGCCGCGTCCCACGTGCAGCAACTAGAAGGATGTGCAACTATGACATACAGCTGTCTACTGAGGCTTTGGGGGAAAAAAATAAATAAATAAAATTATAAAAAAAAAAAAAAAAAAACCAGACCTGAAAACATCCTGCTGTCAGCAACAACATGGTTAGACCTTGAGGGCATTATGCTAAATGAGATAAGTCAGACAGAGAAAGATAAATACTGTATGATCTCACTTATACGTACAATCTAAAAAAGCTGAACTCAGAGAAACAGAGAGTAGAATGGTGGTTACCAGAGGCTAGGGGCTGGGGGAGCAGAAGAGATGTTGGTCAAAGTTTGTTGGTCACAAACTTCCAATTAAAAGATGAATACGTCTGGGGCTCTAATATACAGCATAGTAACTATAGATAACAACACTGTATTATACACTTGAAAGCTGCTAAGAGACTAGATCTTAAATGTTCTCAAAACAGAAAAGAAACGCTAATTATATGACATGATGGAGGTGCTGGCTCACCTATGGTGGTAATCATTTTGCAATACATAAGTCTATCAAATCAAAACGTTGTACACCTTAAACTTATACAATGTCATATGTCAATTATATCTCTGTAAAGCTGGAAAAAAAACAGACCTGAAAAAGACAACCCACAGAAAGGGGAAAAAATATTTGCAAATCATATATGCAATAAAAGACTTGCATCCAGAATATATAAAAATCCCTTACAACTCAACAGTAAAAAGTGAGCCAAGGATTTTAATACATATTTTCCCAAAGAGGATATACAAATTTCCAATAAGCACATGAAAAGATGCTCAACATCCTTAGCCATCAAGGAAATGTAAATCAAAAACACAGTAAGATACCACTTCACACTCACTAGGATGGGTAAATAAAAAAGACAGACAATAAAAAGCATTGGTGAGGATATGGAGAGATTGAAATCCTCAGACATTGCTAGTGGGAATGTAAAATGGTGCAGCTGCTGTGGAAAACAGTCTGGCAGTCCCTCAACATGTTATACACAGAGTTACCATACGACCCAACAATTGTACTCCTACATACATACCCAAGAGAACTGAAAGTATATGTCCACCTAAAAACTTGTACACAAATGTCCATAGAACATTATTCATAATAGCCAAAAAGTGGAAACAACCCAAACGTCCATCAACTGATGAAAGGATAAATAAAATGTGGTATATACATACAATGGAATATTATTCAGCTATAAAAAAATGAAGTTCTGACACTTTACAACATGGATGAACCTTGAGGACACCATGCTGAGTGAAAGAAGCTGGACACAGAAGACCAGATATTATTTGATTCCACTGATGGGAAACGCATAGGCAAACCCATAGAGACAGAAAATAGATTAGTGTTGCCAGGGGCTGGGGAAAGAGGGGATTTAGGGGTGACTGCTAATGCACATGGATTTCTTTTTGGGGCAATGAAAATGTTCTGGAATTAGACAGTGGTGATTGATGTACAATTTTGTGACTATGTTAAAAAATCACTGAATTGTACACTTTAAAAGAGTGAAATTTGGGCCGGCCCAGTGGCGCAGTGGTTAAGTGCGCGCGCTCTGCTTCAGCAGCCTGGGGTTTGCAGGTTCAGATCCTGGGCGTGGACCTACGTAACGCTTATCCAGCCATGCTGTGGCAGCATCCCACATATAAAGTAGGGGAAGATGGGCACGGATGTTAGCTCAGGGCCAATCTTCCTCAGCAAAAAAAAGAGGAGGATTGGCATCATATGTTAGCTCAGGGCTGATCTTCCTCACAAATAAAAAAAAAAAGAGCGAAATTTATAGTATGTGAATTATATCTCAATGAAGCTGTTGTTGGGTGAAAAAAGAACTAGAACTGAATTCGGGTTTTGTATGTGTGTGTGTGAGGAAGATCAGCCCTGAGCTAACATCCGATGCCAATTCTCCTCTTTTCACCGAGAAAGATTGGCCCTGGGCTAACATCTGTGCCCATCTTCCTCTACTTTATAGGGGACGATGCCACAGCATGGCCTGACAAGCGGTGCATCGGCGCACACCAGGGATCCGAACCTGCGAACCCTCGGGCCGCAGAAGCAGAGCGCGCACACTTATCCGCTATGCCCCCAGGCCGGCCCCCAGAATTTGGGTTTTTTTAATTGTTCAACAGAGGGGAAAAAAATAAACCTGATTATCAATGCATTCTTCAAACCAAACCTGAAAGAATACCAATATTTCATTCAGTATTTACAGGTTCCCATGGGAGAGACCAAGTAGAATTCCAGCCACCTGTGGACAGACCCACCATTTCAAGACTGCCAAGAAGCACCATCTGTCTTCCTACCTATGGAAATATGATAAATATGCCACTCAAATGAAAAGAGGTGAATAGTCCAAACTCTCTGCTGAGTTTACTACCTTCCTCCTCCGCCTTTGCCCCAGCCAAACCTCAGCTGAGAGGACTCCGCCTGGACCTCTGAGAAGCTGCTGTGGTGCCTGCTCTCACCCTTGCCATCCTGGGTCTCTGCTTTACAAGTGCTCTATGAAGCCATAGTGCTTCAAAGACTGCCAGGCCTGACCTTAGAGAGACTAGAGCTTGTGTCCAGATAAATCACTTTCTAGCTGTGTGGTTCAGCTTCAACTTCCTCATCTGCAAAACCAATAACCTGAGCATTCTGAAATTAGATCATCCCTGTAAAGACTCTTAGGTAACGCATAGGCTAGTATGTCACACAACGTCTGACTCATAGTAAGGACCAACACACATCGCTTGAACACACTAAGCAGAACTTTCCTACATACTAGAGAGATGGTGTGGATTACAGTTTTAAAATTAAGACATGAGAGGCCACTCAGGAAGGTAAAAGAGATTTACCAATAGCCAGATATCTGTTGCATACAGCCATTTACTACTATTTTCCTTGCTGGCAGGGTGTTGTGGATTGAATTGTGTCTCCCAAAAAGATGCTGAAGTCCTGATCCCTAGCATGTGTCAATATAATTTATTCAAACAGGGTCTTTGCTGATGATGAAGTCAAGATCAAGTCATTAGGGTGGGGCCTAACCCAAGGAGTGGTGTCCTTATAGAAAGGGGGGATTTGGACAGAGACAGAGACACATAGAGGGAAGATAATGTGAAGACACAAGGAGAATGTCATCTATAAGCCAAGGAATGCCTGAGGCCACCAGAAGCTAGGAGAGAGGCCTGAACACATCCTCCCTCACAGCTCTTGGAAGGAACCAACCCCGCTGACACCTTGATTTCAGACTTCTAACCTCCAGGACTATGAGACAAGTTTCTGTTGTTTAAGTCACCCAATTTGTGGTATTTTGTTACAGAGCCCTAGAAGACTAATCCACAGGGATAGACTGGTTTAAATTATTAACATGATAACAAGTCCAGTGACTTTTTAAACCTGTTTTGCAATGTCTATTTAAAATTACATCACCTTACCTTCATCAGACCTTGTCTTGCAGGATCAGAGGTTCTCAGTACATCTTCTGTGGTCCACCAGGACTCCTTTATGTAAACAGCCACAACTAAAGAGAAAGCCAAAAGAAAAGGATGATGTGCACACAGCCAACCGGCCACCAGAGGGGCAGTTTTAACAGCAGGCAGCCACTGTCAAGGTGCAAAAGAAAGATCAGGTGCTGGTAAAGCAGGTGATGTTTTTAGCTGAAGTTTTCTGAGAGCACTGACCAGGACAGAGGGGCCACTATCACCTGAAGGGGACTTCACAGCTCTCTTCACAGATGGCCCACTATTGACTCCAAAACAGGATGTATCCCAATGCTGCTGGGCAAAAAAGACTACACACCAATTCTGACAAATTCAATGGGTAAGAATCACATTTTTTTCCAAAGTCCAATTATGTGCCACAACTTGGAACTGCCCAAATTTAGTCAAATCCAACATTATCTAAGGGCCCTGAACAAACCATATTAACATCGTCCTCAGCACTGCGCTTGGCACTGGCTGCTTCTACATGATTTTCTTTCATTCTCCTGAAACTGTCATCTGCATTCTCCTGAGGAGGAAACTGAAGCTCTGAGAAGTGAAGTAATTTGAAGACAACCACTAGGAGGGCCTCAGGTGGGGTCCAGCTCTGGGCCACTTGACTCCAAGTCCAGTGCTCTTTCCAAGAAGCCGGAAATGGGTCAGCTGTTAGGAATGGGGCGAATCACGCAGGGATGACAGACGTGTCTTTGGATGAAAAGGCCCCGGTGCTGGGATCTGCAGGAGGAGAAGGGTAGAGGCATCTCTCCTCCCCACATTTTCGCCTGGCCCCAGTCTAGACAGTCACTGAAGCCTGTAGCTTCTGCCCATTCCAGGTTCGGACATGGGTCCTGGTGCTTGGTTGGGGTGACCTCAGCACACCCTCAACCTCACTAAGGCCCAGACTCCTCATCAGAGTTGCCCAAACTGATCACCGGAGGTGGCTGACAAGTTCCGATGAGGATGGGGGATGAAAGGGCCCGCAGGGGCCGGCAGGTAGAACATGCTTAGCATCTACTAATGAATGAGTCAGCTCTCCTCCCCTGCTCCTGCTGCAGTCCCACGTCCCTCACTCCCACCTGCTGCCTCGGGATGGCCGCCCTGGATGGCAGCTAGGTCCAGGCCACCACCACCTCCACAAATGACTGCGACAGCCCCTCACTCCATCCCCTGCCTCAGACGCCATACCAATCTACCCCTACTGAGTGGCCACTCCAAAGGCAAATCCAGTCACGGCCTCTGCCTCCTGTCTCTCAGCTGTGCAATCCTCCTGTCCTTGCTTAAGAATTACATTTTAAACACCAAAGTTACTTTGGTTGTTTTCTGGTACCTTTTTTTTTTTTTCAATTAAGACTTTTTTTTTAGAGCAGTTTCAAGTTCATGGCACAACTGAGGGGAAGGTAAAGATTTCCCATATATCCCCTGTCCCACACATGCATAGCCTCCCCCGTTATCAACAGCCCTCACCAGATCGGTACACGTACAACTGATGAACTTACACTGACACATCATAACCATCCAGAGGCCAGAGCTCACATTGGGGGTCACTTTCGGTGGTGTACATTCTATGGGTTTGGATAAATGTATAATGACACGTAACCATCACTATAGGATCGTACAGAGTCTTTTCACTGCCCAAAAAATCCTCTGTGCTCTGCCTATTCACCCCTCTTCCCCCCAACCCCTGGCAACCACTGACCTTTTTACTGTCTCCATAGTTTTGCCTTTTCCAAAATGTCATATAATTGGAACCATACAGTACGTAGCCTTTCATACTGCCTTCTTTCACTTAGTAATATGCATTTAAGGTTCCTCCATGTCTTTCCATGGCTAGATATCTCAAAATTCTTTTTAGCGCTAAATAATATTCCATTGTCTGGAGGTACCACAGTTATTTCTTCTCCTGCATCTTTTTTTATACCCCTTTTATTTCCTTTTTTTTTTTTTTTGTGAGGAAGATCAGCCCTGAGCTAACATCCATGGCAATCCTCCTCTTTTTTGCTAAGACCGGCCCTGAGCTAACATCTATTGCCAATCCTCGTCCTTTTTTTTTTTTTTTCCCCTTTTTCTCCCCAAAGCCGCAGTAGATAGTTGTATGTCATAGTTGCACATCCTTCTAGTTGCTGTATGTGGGACGCCACCTCAGCACGGCCAGACAAGCGATGTGTCGGTGCGCTCCCAGCATCCGAACCTGGGCCGCCAGTAGCTGAGTGCGCACACTAAGGGCTAAGCCACAGGGCCGGCCCCTATTTCCATATTTATACCTGCTTCTCATCTGAGCCCAAGGGGTCCAGAAGCCACAAAATAAAAAGACGCAACCTCCCAGTCAAATCTTTTCAGCTGAAGATTTGCAGGAAAATGTTAACACAGAATAGAAAACAAGTCATTTGAACATTTAATAGAAGGCTCAAGACTTTAAAACAAATTTTGTGGGCACTCAGGTTAAGCTGCCGCCCCCTTCTTCCCTATTTCTCTGTGATCTTTGAGGAACTTCAGTGGAAAACTCTTTGAAGACCAGGTTACAACATTAGCCAGTTATTAAACACGAATGTGGCACAGCCAGCCCCTCCCCTCCAAAGACCAACAGCCTCTAATCCACTATGTCAGTTTCATATCATTGGTAAATTATATCATCTCCGACAACAGTTCCAAAATTGATAGAGCCAGCTGAGAGAGAAGGGCCAATTTAATGCTTGACATCTGCCTTCATTTATTCAACTAAATTCATTTTCAAAATGGCACCTACTGGAACTTACAGGAGGTTTATAAAACTGTAAGGATTACTTTCCTGCTTAACAAGGTGAATCAATAAAAGATGTTCAATTTACTAATACAGTGTATTACTGAAATACAGGTTTTCAACTTACTATGATAGTTTCAAACAGGAAGCATGTTATGATTTGGTGTTTGTGTGGTGCCTTGCAAGTCGCACGGTGCACTGCAGAGCATTAATTAGTCACACAAGTTGTCACCAAATAGACTCAGCTGTTTTTTTTCAAAACTAATCTTAAGCTGCTAAGTAGACATAACAATGAAAGTGAAGTCCAATCAAATCTAACAGGCCTAAAATAAACTGTTCTCAAAACCAACTCCTGAAAAATAGAGTCAGCCTTCCAGACAGTGGCAGCTTTTGATCAGAAAAGCAGGATACCTAGTCAAGAGGAAACAAGAAGGAGGAATGGTGGCAGAGCCCGTGGAGAGAGGCTGTACTCAGCTCAGCAAGGACAAAGGATGGATCCCGGAGGACTGACAGGTACCGTAGAGCCAGCCTCAGGGCATCACTTCTGCAACCCTGAAGCCAGCGAGCTCTAAGAGTTAGAAAATGGAAACCACAACATCCATGGTATTAAAAGAAAAAAATAATGATTCTGATCAGTATCTTCTAGCTCTCCATCATTTAGGGTCTAAGCAGAGACTGGACACCTGCAGAAGGCTGTGCAGTGGTGACAGCAATCAATGGGCATTGTTAAGGGCCAGCCTCACTGCACCAATTTAATTTCCCTTTCCCCATGAATGACAGGTGATGTGCACCACAAGAAAGATGTCAGTAATGGATTTTATTCTACGACACTCCAAGGTTTCCCAAACAAGTTAAGACAGTGAGGTCCCTGAGGCTAACTCCCAGCGGCCTGGCTTCACCAAGGCTCAGCATCATCAACTGAATTCAGCCACCCTTGGCCGAGTTCCCGAATGCACGAACAGTGCTGTCCTAGGCCCCCAGAGGCTGATGAGTAAGACTCCACCCTTGCCCCCGGGAGTAGGCAGCCTGCAGGGGAAGAGAGAGCTGCTCTAATTCAGGATAGCACATGAAAGGTGCTGGAATCAAGCTGGGAGCCACAGTGTCACAAGGACCCAGAGGAGGGAATCCACTCTGCTGAGGGGTATTGGGAAAGTGATCCTGGAGAGCTCCTCCAGCTCAGGCTCTGGATCAGTGGGGAAGGTTTCAACAGGCAGAGAGGACGCATGAGGACCCTGCAGGCAGTGTAACCCATGAGCAGAGGCACAAAGCCCTACAAGTCCAAGGCCACACCCAGGGCATCCCAAGCAGCAGGGGTAGCTGGGCGAGACCTAGACAAGAGAGAGACAGGGCTGTAAACATTGATTATGGCAAGGTTGCAGGATACAAAGTTAATATACAAAAGCCAACAGCTTTCCTATACACCAGCAATGAACAAGTGGAATTTAAAATTAAAAACACAATACCATTGGAGCCTGCCTGGTGGCGTAGCGGTTAAGTTCAAGTGCTCTGCTTCAGCGGCCCGGGGTTCGCAGGTTCGGATCCTGGGCACAGACCTACGCACCACTCATCAAGCCACGCTGTGGAGGCGTCCCATATACAAAATAAAGGAAGATGGGCACGGACGTTAGCTCAGGGCCAATCTTTCTCAGCAAAAAGAGGAAGACTGGCAACGGATACTAGCTCATGGCCAAGTTTCCCTACACACGCACAAAAAAAACCACAATACCATTTACATTTGCATCCCCAAAAAATGAAATACATAGGTATAAATCTAATAAAATATGCACATGATCTATATGAGGAAAACTACAAAACTCTGATGAGCAAAATCAAAGAATTAAATAAAAAAAAGAGATATTCTGTGTTCATAGATAGAAAGACTCAATATCGTCAAGATGTCAGTTCTTCCCAACTTAATCTACAGATTCAATGCAATCCCAATCAAAATCCCAGCAATTTATTTTGGGGATATCAACAAACTGATTCCAAAGTTTATATGGAAAAGCAAAAGACCCAGAATAGCCAACACAATATTGAAGGAGAAGAACAAATTTGGAGGACTGACCCTACTCAACTTCAAGACTTACTATAAAGCTACAGCAATCAAGACAGTGGGTTACTGTATTAATGAAAAAATAAACAAACAGATCAACGGAACAGAATAGAGCGCCCCGAAATAGAAACACATAAAAATAGTCAACTTACTTTTGACAAAAGAGCAAAGGCCACACAAAGGAACAAAGGTAGCCTCTTCAACAAATGGTGCTGGAACAAAGGGACACCCACACACATAAAAATGAATCT